GGACGATTTTTAAAGCGATCAAATTTTTATTAATCATTCTATATTTTTATTAATCATTCTTTATTTGAAGAAAACGCTTATCGAAACATCATGCAGTTAGCAATAATTATCGATTGTCTTTCTCTTTAAACAGTTTCTAGCGTTTATAATAATATATAGTATTCTTTATATTTTAGAGATAAACTGGAGAGATTAATGTTCGCGGACGTTCGCGGATGTAAAGTCCTCGTGAACGTTATATCAGTCGGCACGAAGGTTGCGTTAGACGGGCGCGATCAATATACGCACCATTAGTAACATTAAGCAAGTAATCGTGTGAATCATCTGTCAGAGGAAATTAATAGTGATATTATTAATAGGACGTGCACATTCCGTGCGTATAAAAGTGTAACGCCAAGTAGAATTGAGATCATTGAGATTAATCGTCCTCGTACTGCCGAATGCTACGGAAATTGGAACGAAGTGTGGGTGGTCATGGTGGAGAATAGAAAACAGATTCTTCTTGGGAACGATTTTCATTATTTATCGTTTAAGTTGAAGTACATCTCAATATACAAATCACATCGTCCGTGCCCTACGAAGTAGTAGTATATATCGCCGCTCCTCTCGCCGGAGCGTCTGAGTTGTCTCTCGTTCGCAGCCGCAGCAAAAGGGGCTACCGCGGTTTATTTCTCTCTCTTCGCACCGAAGGACCGAGCGACGTGTGTTGGGGCCGAGACACGACGAAGTCGAATAAACAGTTTATCGAGAAACAATACGGGGAATATCGGAAACGGATATTCGTTTATACTTCGCATATCTCGTTTCGCATCAATCACCCTGTCCGAATATTCCCCTCCACAGCCTCGATAGACTCGCAAGCTATATCTGTTTGATTCTTTGTACGTACATCTGTTTTCTGCGATATATTGCGGTTGATCGGTATTAGCTGATTACCTTTATACCGTGCGCTGTCAGTGATTTTATCCGCTATCGTTATACATCTACTTTCGCTGTCTTCGTCGTTTCTCGACCCTCACTCTCGTCTCCGCTGTATTACAGTCATCGCGCGAGGGAGATTGCCGGAACTAAAAGGAGATAAACGGAAAGGCGGAAGGGATGGGAAAATATAAGTGCGAAAGTAGAACGCGGAAAGCGCGACCAAAATGCGCTCAAGCAAGCTCGGTAGCAACGTTAGCGATGTACAAATCACATCTCGTTATGACGATGACACGGGGTGATGGGGATGAGAAATGATAAAAATGATCGTGACAGCGCTAATGCGGTAAATGGAACATAATAATCTCGATGATGATCAATAATAAACGATTACGATAATTGGCATCTAATCAATAACTTACGACCTTGGCGATTATAATCACCTTGTCGCGTTATTCAATGAGAGATGAGAGATCTGGCGACGAATAGGCGAGGAGCGTGCGCGGAGAGATGGACATCATGATTGGGACAGAGAAAATTCGGCGAATCGTAAATTCGAAAAAGATTATTCATATCCTTAAATTACTTATGTTACTACATATACTCACAGTTTTCGTTGAGGTTAAAGATTAAATCGAAAGCGTAAAAGATAAAACAATTTTCAAAATTTCTTCTTATAATATCTTCAAAGAGAGAGCTTACGAACAATATTAATTACACATAAATAGAAAGAAATTAATTATATATTACTTTTTATGACAATAATAATGAAGTGTGCACTCGCTTTTTCGAATTTGCCATGTTTCCGAACTTTCCTAGCAAATCGCGACGAGATGGACTGCGTCAACTTACTCCGGATTAGTTATCTGCTATTCCTTCGCAAGTTTTGTAGACCTACCTACGATACGGACAGAGGAAGGAGATTCAGTTAATCGGAATAAGCGCTAAAACAAGTTCGGTGATAAAGCATAACAGTATTTAATATACTTTGGAATGAAACGTGCTCTTACGCTAGATATGCGTGACGAGGTAAATGGCATGCGATTTAGAGATCACTTAATACGTAACGGAAAGTCAACGCTATCGATAGAAACGAATCGGTATTAATACGAAACTTCTCTCGCGAGTGAATAGCTGTGGCGAGTATACCACGATTTTCTCGATGTTTGATTCATGACGCGTCTGTGGAATGTTTATCTTAGTTTTTTCTCCTTCGACAATACGCTTATTCATTTCGTTTACTTCTTTTTTGTTTTCTTTCATGCGTTCAGACCGTAAGTTCGGCTGCTAAATAAATCAGATTTCAGCTTGTATTCATTGTATTACCGTATACGCGTATTCACAACACACCCTCTCTTATTAAAATTATTCTTTACTACATACGCTTGTATTATTGGAAACGTAAATACCTTTCGAGGTAGGACGGCGGACTCATGATCTTTCCGGCTTACCGAAGTTTCATTTAAACGATAGTCATGCAAACACGAAAGCGTGTTTTCCTAGAACCACGTTTCATGCTTCTAAATGAGCTCACCTTTGTCGTGTATCGTCGTACGCAAACGCAATAATTCTCCAATCGCTACCTAGCAATCGAATTTAATAAAAACAATTCAATATAAGAATAAAACAGGCAGAATTGGGTTTTTCTAGATAATTTAGATACAACGTCTTCAAGATAAATAAATTGCTATTTTTGCATTAAATCAACATCTAATCTAATGTAGATTAACTTACTAATCTCGGTTCAACTTACTCTTCATCTCTTCTTAATTCTTAGAATTAGAATTCTTATAGAACTATTATAGAAAAGGATGAAGAGTTAGTTAAACCAAGATTAAAATTAAACTACATTGGTAGAAATAAGTATAAGTTCTTTCTATTAATACAGATTTAACTTCCATCGCGCTAATGTTGCAGCAATGCTGCTGCAAGTTCCTTGCTATATATTTATCTCAGTTAACTTTTATCTTTTTCGAATTTTTAGAACTAGAAAAGGATGAAAAGTAAGTCAAAGCGAGATTAAAGTTACTCTACATTTGATAGAAATGAACATAAGTTAGATTTGTCTGCATAGCTACTGATATACAGATTTTGCTAATCGTGCGTTCCGATACGAGCGATATGACAAAGTGCATAACTTCCCAATCGTCTTATGCACTATCTCGGTCCTTTCCTCGAAGGATAATTGGGAATACAGGTTCTACGAATAAGAATAATATCACCATATGCAGTCGTAGATGCCCCTTGAAATCGTCACAGCCTCTGGCAGATTAAAAATAACGCAAGCTACAGTAATGTCCTATGTATATTAAATTCGGCATTCGTTCAACGACGAACGATGACATCGTGTCTCCGAGCAACGACTTGCTCTCGGTCGTTAAACGAATCTCGAATTTTGACATTAAAAAAAGAAGTTACAGTTAACTAAAGTTACAAGAAACTAAATTATTTCGAGCTGTTCCTTCTGTGCTTCGTCGCCAAAAATCACCATGCGAGTGAGATGTATCCCTCCGATAATCGCGAAAAGATTTTCCAATATTTCCAAGGATACGTTTCGTTTTGCGCTTACAGCGCTGTAAGCACCATTTATTCTTGTTTAATATTTGACAATAAAAATGATTTATAATGCTTACACCGAAAACAGAATTTGATAGTATAGCTATCAAATGTTTTGTGAAATAATGCCAATTGAATGTTTGGTTAATACAACTAAACATAATTTTACCTTTAGAAATTTAGCAAGTATTACCATTGATAATATTTAATAAATATTTGAATTGGTAGCTATTACCAAACTCTTTTTCTAGTATAAAATGTATGAGCGTGAAAACGAAACGCGTCCTAAATCGCGAGAGGAACATTCGCTAACAGTGTACGTGTAGTACTACGCAGAGTGATAGAAAGTATAGACAGTGGACACGCAGAAACTCTCGTAGGTCACGAGGTCAAAATCAAATGTGCGAATATTCAAATACATTTATATATATGAATTGAAAAATCGCGTGGCAATATCACTCGATGCTGCCTGATTAGGAAGAGAGATAATTTTCAATTCAAATCCACGATCGACAAGGCAAGCATGAAGTCGCGTGACATGCACGTTCTCCATTTTTCACGTGTGTTGTACGATGATCGCTATAATTACGCGTGATCACACGTTAGATACGCACGAACAGATCGCGATTGGTTTTACCTTTTCTTTCAATGTCTGTTTCTAATCTTTCTGTCCCGATTTGACTCTCGTTAATCAGGCGAATATCATGGGGCACCGATATTGGTTCTTTTCTCGAAAAAAGTAAAGTCATAAACGTCCCATACAGTTTTAAAGAAAATAAATTTAATTTTAGTGATATATCTTTTATAGAGATCATTAATAATGTTTAAACGTTCTCAATTATGAATATATAGTTTGTCTATAAAATTGATTTCCGCTTCACTAAATTACGCTTGTAAAGAAAAGACTCGTGTCTTTTCATAAATATGTAGACAAGGCAGAGCAAGTGAAGGAAGAACCATCTTAAATTTGAAATAAGTATTTGAGATTTCAAAGTTAGAAAGAATTAAATTGGATTGAACAGATTTTTTCCTCTTTCAAACGGTCTTTATATAATCTATTATATAATCACACAGATAAAGCTTAACAAGCATTCTCAATCGCAAAAATCATCCCACTGCCGGGCAAATGTCATTAATTTAAAAGAAGCAGAATTACTGATGATGTCACCTTCTAAAATGACATATCTTCGATCTCTTCGAATCTCTTTATGTCTTCCCTCTAGTGCTCCCTCGTTCACAAGAAATCAAGGAGAAGAGTATACAATCCCGTGCACGATCATGCGTTAAAAAAGTCAGTTCCATCGTAGATACGTAAATGTATACACAATTATGACGAGTCAGTCTCCAACGTGAGCGATGATGCGGTTTACCGGTGAACTTTCCAACGTGTACCGTACGTAATGTGGAATGTGTGTATGTCCCTCTATGTGTGTGTACGTGGGTATATGCGCGTGAGGCGTGTATCTCTGGGATTATTCAGTTTGCATGATGATCGAGCAGCAAAGCGGAAGTCGAAGGGTTACCGGTTACTCCGAAGCGCCTCCTCTGCCGCCGCAGTAGCTAGTCAGTTCATTTATCGTACACGGGTTGATGCAGCATTCCTCATGGATACCTCGACCCTGCCTTCGGTAACGCCTGCCAGCGAAGCGTCCGTCTAACATCCCCCGTGCCCTCGCTCGCGGCAGGAATGGAGGAAATTCGTAGGCGATCGGATAATCGGCCATTTCCATTTCTGAAACAGAAACAAATCTGTAGTGGCATTATAACTTCAATTAATAGACTTCAATAAACCATCAAAAATTCTGTTTAATTTAATAAGTGCGCTCGCTTATCTCATTCTCGTTTATTTTAAAATATTAATATATTTTATTCTTGTCTCTGTTTTTTTTTTAATTAAAGACGGTTTAGTTTTAAACTTTTTTAATAAACAAAACACTAGGGTAAACCCGGTATATACGCCGCGTCAGGAAATACGCCGCAGAAGTCAGAAAAAATAGAAGGAGTGGGGATAATTTTCCGTCAATTACTTTGTTACATGCCTTTATGGTATATTAGTATTATGTTATGATTTCAGTTCTTTACTGTTAATATTAATGAAATTATTGCGAGTTAAACCGATTTTTTACTGTAATAAGTATTGCCATCATAATTTATAATCTACATAAAATGATTATTATAGAGCGTGTAAAAGACTTAGTGGTTATTTTGCAATACATATGTGTAGAGGAATAGTAAAGCATGTTGTATAGCAAAATACAAGTGCTTTGCTCCTGTATTGTTTGTTTAATTAGTTGTCATATATATCCCATCTATTTGGGATATACGGCATTTTTAGCGAGCGGGATGCTGTGCCGCAGCACAGACGCTCTATTTAAGAAGTTTTTGTTAATTCTAACAATTATACATTGCATTAATGCATAAATGTTGATAAATCTTAAACGTTTAAAGATTATTTTCAAAGATTTGAAGCTATTTAAAAAAATTGTATTAAGTCCTATTTGTGTTCCAATTTTCATTCTGAACAATAAAAATTGTCATATATTAATAAACAATGTAAGTTACGTCGTCATTTTACATCTTATTTATAAATTATTTGTGATTTTCTTATGAATTATATACGAGTGGCCATATTATCCTCCCCTATGGGATAAATGGCAAAAATGCAGGAGTTTGAAAAAGTTACTTTTTAACAGGGATTGGAAGTAACTCGTTACTTGTAACGAAGTTACAGTTACAAGTTACTTTTTTGGTAACTTTACTGGTAACTGCGTTACTTTCTTTTTTTGGTAACTGTAACGGTAACGAGTTACATTTTTTGGGTAACGGTAACGAAATTTACAGTTACTTTTGTCGTTACTTTGGACACGATTGAACACGGTTCGATTGGATACATGCTATTTATAGCGCTTATCAATAAGACTTGAAAGCCCTTAGACATTCGGCCGTTATGATTCAGTAATTATTTTACACTTCTATCTTCTATGTAATACATAGGACATACAAATATTTCAGTTTGCTGCATATTTTACAGGTTTTAGAATTACAAAATTGTGTTTAAAAAAAATTAAAAAATAAATTAAATAATAGTAAAATGAGAAGGGCTATGAACCCAAAAGCGAAACAGTTTAAAAGACGATGACAATAAGTGTCGAAACGTCGTTTGTTTTTATCTTGTTTTATCTATGTATTGTTCTAATATATATTTATACATTTAATTACATTGTCATCGTCGTTCTTATCGGAAATAAATTGTTTATTGAAATAAATTTTTGGCTCGTAACCCTTCTCATTTTACTTTTATTTAATTTATTATTTGAGCCATTCTACAATAAAAAAGTAACGGAAAAGTAACGAAAAGTTATTTTTCAAGTAACGGTAACTGTAACGAGTTACTTTTAAAAAGCGATAACTGTAACTGTAACTAGTTACATTTTTTACTCGGTAACGAGTAACTGTAACTAGTTACTTTTAAAAAGTAACTTTCCATTCCCTGCTTTTTAATATCGAAAATAAATTATTTTGGATTTCTAATATTTTTTTTTACAGTAGTAGATGATACAAAGTTTTTATTTGTATAATTAATTTGCTTTAAACATACTAAATAATAATTGATAAATTAAGTTTTCGATAGGTGCGGCGTATATACCGGGTTTACCCTATGTGTTTGAATTTAAAGACGTTTAAAATTGAAATATCTTTTATTATTAGATAAACGTTTGCTTTGCAAAGAGAGATGTTTTAAACATTTTAAACATTGCATTGTTTACAGTGTGCCTCTTATTTGTGGGAAAATCTAGAAAAGTTTTGAAATTTTCGAAAAAGCTTTCGGCCGTAAAAACTTTTTCTCTCTAAAGTCATACCTTGGGTGCGAACGTAGTCAAAGTTGCTATCTCTGCTATCGACGTTCGCTTCTTCCCGCGCTGTGAAAGAAATCAAAGTGAAACATTGTTTGAAAATCTCAAAACTTTTTTAGTGATCGAAAGGAAAGGATGTTTAAGCGTAATTACAAGTGCAAACAAAAAATTAATTAGTGCCAACAGAATCGATACGATTTATTATACGAATTATAACATAGATATTATGTTAATTTTAATTAACTGAATACGTTTATAATCTGTTTAAAATTTTAAAATTATAACATAATATCTCTGTTACACAATTTTGCATTCAAAAATATAAATGTAATATAATAAATGGTATATAATATAAGAATTACATTACTGAGTGTGAAATTATAACACTAATGTTACATTACTTTTATAATTAGCGTAAGAGCCATTGATTTTAATATATCATAAGTTTAAGATCGAACTAGAATAATGCTAATTTTATTTGTGCCATGTTGCCTACGTTTTGTTTGGACAATTTTACGTGTTTTCGAAAACAAAATAGGATTTGCAATACGTGTCACGTATACTATATTTGAGATAAACAATGAGAATTTGCTTTGCAGGATCATCAATAAATTGGACAGGCACATCTAGATCCCGCTGTCAGATTATACGAATCTATTTGATCGATTAAGCTCAATGATAAGTTGTTTTACGTGTCCGAAAAAGGTTCACGTAAATTTCCGTTGTAAATTTTTGCTTTTGTTTTCATGAAAAAAAAAAAAAACCGTGACTAAAGTGCTGTCGCTAAAAAATGTAATGTCCCCGATTGTCGGCATATTTAAGTCATTCGACGATTATGAAAGGTGCGTCGGCTTATGATCCTACTCGGGAATACGTAATACGCTTACATGCATTATTCATTGGCGACAAAGTGGCGATTACTTGGTTAATTGTGGGCACAGATTGATCGCGTGCTTAATCGCCTTTTGTAAAAGACCATGCTTGAGAAGCCGTTAAAATTGAAGGGTCCGACCGATAAAAGTTCCCTTATAATCGGTGGGCAGCGTAGTCTATAACGTTCGCTTTAAACGTGAGGTTGTATCTAAAGTGAGCTATACGAATTATAGGCTGACCTCATTCTTATATTGAGCCGTTTAATTATACGTCCAGTGCAAATTAAGCCTCATTCATACTTCGAAACGAGTCACTTTAGATATGCGGGTTTAACGTTATAAGGAGTGATGGATAATTCAAAACGTCAAATAAACGTTAATAAGGTTGTATCTGTTTATGAATATTTTTTTTACCAAACGTCTTGCGACATCCTAACCTATGGAATCTTACCCAGCAATTTGGCCTTTACGTTGGATAAGTATCAATGCCTTTATTATAAAATACTTGTCGCGCCATCGAGGGTGACATTAATCGAGAAAGAAGGAATGCGAACGACATTAATATTAATGGCCATGTCGCCGCATTATAAATGCAAATTTTCTTACGAGGCGTCTGCCATCGAGAAATCTTCCTTAATATTATTCTTTAACTTGTGCTATTATTAACTTCCTGAATTATTATGCTTGCACGCGCGCAAGAGCGTCATTGATGTATTCCGGACGCGTGATTTTCCTCTCGCAAATCGTTTATTGCAGGAAATCAAGAAATTAAAAGAAAAACGTCAATGAACATTTTTATGTCTCTGAAAAAATCATTGTTTTGTTCTCTATAAATTTTAATAATAGAGTGAAAATGCGCCAATAAATAATTAATTAAAAAATTTTTATTATATAGAAATATTTACTTATATATAAATATGGATATAAATTTAATCAAATAAGATATAAATTAAATAAAATTAGATAAAAAAATTCTTATCGGTATAACTTTACCTATAATTGTTCAGATATAAAATTATTTTATTAAATTGTTGCTAATATTTAAGATCTAATCATATTAGCCTGTTATTTGTTTCTTGCAGACATGTGCAATTTGAAAATTAACGGTGAAAGACGCCTATTAAGGCTGAAATAATCAGCGAATAACCGCTAGTTAAACAGTCGCTTTGAGCTATGATTATATCAAGAATGAAATACGATGCGTCTCTTGTGTCCACACATTTAGAAACATAATTGCTTAACGTTCATCACGCGAAGAAAGAGAAATAAACACAATTGTTGCATTCAGTAATGATCTATATTACTTGATATTGAAATGAGCGTTTCTTCCATCGATTAACTCACAAACTCACCTTGACCACTCTTCTTAAACATGGAATTGTACACGCCATCACAGATTATCTGTAGAGCATTGGAAAGCTTCTTGCCGCAATATTTCTGTGGCGCATTTACGGCGGATCGCTTCGAGCCGAATTGGGGATAGCCATCCACCTGTGCGTTTCCCGATTCCATCACAAGAAGCGCGACGGCGAGCATCAGGGTCACCAGCACGTTCAATCGGTTTGCGGACATCTGAAAGTGATACGATTCTCGTTTAATTACATTCAGGAAATTAAATTCATCGTCTCACTAATCTTCATCCGCTTTACTTTGCAATTAAATCACAAAGTTCCTATGAAAATGAAACTCTGAATTTCTATAAGCGGATAAAAGTACGTTAAATTGATCGACTCGGCAGACTTTAATATTTATTGCAATTAGATTCGCTCAAGATTTGCAATGATTTTATAATAGAAATTTTCAAAAAAGGAAAGAAAGGGGGTAAAAAAAAAGGAAATATACATATTCCCCCTAAAACTTTTGATTGTCATTCAGAAAAGTGATCTCACTCTTAAAGATTGAAAATCTTTTTCAAAACTGCTCATTTTTCACTCTTTAGAGTGAGATTTCACTCCAAAGAATTTATGGCGTGTTTAGATTCCCACCCGGGTGCTACCCGGATGTTATGTCATCCTTGTCCAATATTCCGTAAACAATAAAACTGGAGTGATACCTGGATGACACTCGGATGGAAATCTGGACTCAACATTAGACAGTATCGTTTATTAAATGTGGATAGAAATTCTGGGGCAGCGATCTCGTCTATCGGTGTCATCATGCAGCCTTTGAGTAAACGAATAGAAATGAAGTTATCTGAGATAACAGATCGGACGATCTGTTTGTTAAAATAACACCTCATTATACCGGCATATCCGAAATTCAGACACAGTTTTTTCGACGCTGATGTTCGTTCGGACATATTTTTTTAGTTATCCGTTTAGGCGACGATCTATTCGTTAAAGCGTAGAAACACATCATGTGATTCGACATCAGACCTCGCCTTGGGAAACTCGGCGTTGCGTCCGGTTTATCGGGATTAATTGAATGCTCGCGGCATTCCAGCGGTCGCGCAGGGTGCCTCTATTTTTAGATATCTTTCACTTAATTATAAATCTTGCAGCGGCGAGAGAAAGAAAGAGAGAGAGAGAGAGAGAGAGAGAGAGAGAGAGAGAGAGAGAGAGAGAGAAAAAAAAGAGAGAGAGAGAGAGAGAGAGAGAGAGAGAGAGAGAGAGAGAGAGAGGGAGGGAGAGGACGCGTACTTTCGTCCGCGGATGTCGTGTAATCGACGCGTCGCGTCGCAACGGGAGTCACCGATAGAACAAGAGAAAGAGAAGCCGCCTCTCGCGCTTTGTTCATAGGAGCGACCTTTGTTCACACGCCAGCATAATTGCGATCTACTCCTCGATCGGACTAGTGCGTATAGATCCTTTCCTGCCGTTCGTTATTTTAGGGACGATCGTTTCGTGCCTCTTCGTGGTAATTTTACAGAAGTATCCATCTCTCGTTGAAGCAATCCTATAAAACAATATTCTCGGAATGTTATGAATTTGATAAAAGGCAAATAATATTCATGTAACATTCTAGGAATATTGTGTACTCATAGGGGACTGTCGATATTATATATTCATGAGACAACGTTATTTTGGAACAAAAAGATAATTGAGCGTGGGGGCATTTTAATGAGGTAAACTTTTCATGTGTACAAGCGCATACACGCACATATACGTACACAGAGATATGGCTTCTAGGGTATTATCCTAGTTTGCTTGGGATAGGTCACCGGTGTTTCTGCAGTATCGCCTCAAAGTTCCACCAGCGACCGCTGTTATGTCTGTGATAGGATTAGAACAATGTTGACTTGTTTTGCAGGCTACGTCGCATTCGATTAGTTCGCGTTATCAACGAAAATGGAAATAAGGCCAGCGGCCTTGATATGTGAATGTATGCGGGACTACGGTATAACACCGTATAATTTCACGAAACAATAATTCTACGCAATCTCAAAATATTCGGAATATTATCAACGTAGGTTTAAAAAATTGAAATGTGTAGAGATGTATATGGGGAATAATTATGGAATAGAAATAATTACATTGCAGAAAATAATCTGAAATTAAACACATAAGACTGACTATATAATGCTCATCGTAAAATTTAAAATAAATAAAATGTATTTAGAATTATATATTATATAAAATTATTATTTTTCACGATATTCGATATCTTAATAATTTTTAGCTTTGAGAACTAAGATTCTAGCAAAATATATTTTATATTGAAATCGACGCCGTCATTCTTTTCGCGTCCTCGAAGCTTACGAAGCTTGAAGCTTTACGAAAGGTCTTTCATTTCCAATAGCTTAAGTACTCGGTAGCTATTAGTCTCGACGGTTTAACTATAAGAGAAATCGATTCGAAACGTTCCTGCTAATTCTGGGGAGAATATTGATTTTCATATCGATATTATTTTTAATTGCCGACACGGTGTATACGTCAATCGACACGGTTTAATTTAAATTTTCGTTCAATATGCATTATTTTTTGTCATTTCTAGGTTGATAAAACTTATTCACGATCGATTGGCGTATGCAATATCATTAGGTAAACGCGTACCCAAGTTGTCGTAGCAGACACACATTGACTTGCCCCCTTCAAAACATGTTACGCGAATATAGGACAGACAACTTCTATTTCCGGAGCATCGTGGTGATGGGAATTAGTGTTCAACACTAAGCAATAACCGAAGGAAGCAGCGCGTGTTGATGTCGAAGTTATCTAACTCTATTTATCTTTTTCGCGCGATTAGTAGTAGCATGACGATGAAAATACGCGTGTGCAACTTGTAATTCTTAAAGAGTGTTGCTTCATCTCTTCTATATACATTCCACAGATAGATCAGATCATTCATTAGAACAAAGTTCTTTTCGCTTCTTTCAACCCTCCAGCAAACTTATTGTTAAAGATTTCACAAATGTATAAGAATAAGAACTTTTTCAGATTTTTAGATAGTTCGGAATTAACATAACAAATACGATGTACACTGTTTCCCTCAAAGATTCAGAGTATAAACAATGATAAAAAATTTTAGTGTGTTACTGGGGGGAGAGTTAAAATCAATTAGTTAATTTCTATATTAGAGACTCATTATTTTTTCATTAGACTATTTGCTGGGACGCAAGATCAAGATTTTTTTACGGAAATTCGCGAATTGTTTTAAATATCCAAGATTGGCGATTAGTTCTTCTTTTCGTTCGTCGTGAAAAAAAAATTGTGTATCTGATGACCGACAAAAAATAGAGCCAGACGAGGTAAATAAGTGTGTTTATGAGCGCGAATGCAGACGGCCGAGACTTGCGGTATCTCACCGCAAAAAAGATAAGCGCGATCGCACGCCGTCGACATGCGGGGACAAAATAAAATTAAAACAAAAGAGGTATATCGGTCAAATTTACCGGCGAAAATCGAGATATATATCGAGCACAATATATATCTATGTATATGAAAGAATATCCCAGTCTTGTTCCATGATCCGTGAAGTCTGTATCAGACGTATTGGAAATTGAAGATTGTGAATTGCAGATTAGAGTTCAATCAATCAGATAATTTTAATTTTAATTCGTTTCATTTTTAATGACTGAATTTTAATTTTTAATTCACAATTCTTAATTTCCTATGCATACTATGACGTGAGCTTAAATTGGATTGCACTGGAGATTAGATTTCAATCAATTAGGATACAACGAATTGAATTAAATTGAAATTATCTGATTAATCAAATTTTGCGATCATATATTTTTGGATACAAATTAAATATTTCGTTTAATTGAGACCTGGTTCTCTCTCACGCTCGTAGAGAACGATTTTGCTGGATATAGAAATAATGTTGTTATAAATTCAAACTGATTGTTATAATATCAAAATGTTTCGCAGCGTTGTCCATCATTTTTTTTTTTAGTTTCTAATTTAGTTATTTTGATGATCCAAGAACATTATTTTTAGATCTGTATTCCCCAAATTCTTTGAAATGGAATCTCATTCTGAAGAGTAAAACTTGAGCTGTTTTTCAATCTTAAGAGTTGCTACATTTACTCTTCAGAGTAAAATTTATTCAAAAAGTTTTAGAGAGTATCCAACAAAATTTCAGATCTTTTTAGCAAAATCGTTCTTTCCGTACAGGGGAATGAATATACAATGAGAAAATTTTTTAAATGCATTCGAGATATGTTAGCTTATCCTCACTAAAAAGTATTACAATATTGATCCTTGTAAAATGCGAGTACTCCTTAAATTAAAAAAATAGAATCTCACTTAAAAATTAAGCCAGTTTGAAAAAAGCCTGGCTCAATTTTCAATCGTTAAAAATGAGATTTTACTCTTCAGAGTGATATTTGCTCTAAAAAATTTAGAGAGTATATTGATTTCATTGAACGCACACTACATCATATTTTGTGTTCCGTGAGATAACGCTATATTGTACTTGAAATTTGCATAAAATGAGACCGAACAACAATTACCGTGTCGATAATGTACGCGTATGCCGTTCATTGGCTTCTTGTCCGGCGCCTCCAACGGTTGTAAACAATACCGAACTACACAGATCCTCCCGGCGCCTCTCGAGAGAAAAGACGCATTTCACGATAGCGAAAAGTCCCGTAAATTGAAAAGAGGACTCGTTCCGGAGCGTCGTCTTGATCGCCCTCCCTTCCTCCACTCCTCCACCACTCACGGGCTATTCTCTTTTACTCCCGTTCCTTCTCTCATGTCTACTCTCTCTTATATGACCAGAGCATTTCTATTTTTGTCCTCGTCTTTTCTCTTGGTATTATCTGCGAAGTACCGCCGGCAGACACGAGTAATAAACACGTGTATATAACACTCGGAAAGATACTAAACGGGCCGCACTTATACGCGCTCGAGGGAGCGCACTTATGTCCGATCGAGTGCGAGCCAGCCCAGGGGTGATCGACTTTCCCGATTAGAGCGTGATGTGTCGCGTACGCCACAGAGCTAGGAAACTTTTCCATTTTTTGGTCATGAATGGACAGACAGGTGTGACAGGGATGGTTGAAAGATTACGGAGGGGGGATTCTAATTCGCTTTAATTGCACGCTTGGATTCATACCGTTCTATCGTTCCTGTGCGGATTATAAGATTGCGACCTTACACCCTGAAAAAAATATTTTAAATTTTAAT